GCTGCCCATGCCCTGGCTGATCATCAGGCTGCGCCATCTACTCTGCACTTGTCAGTCCTGCCCCCCTCCCCCTTTTCTCTGTACCTGCTCTCCCCTCCCCTGTTTTCCTTCCCCCACCTCTGACCTCCACTTTGCGCAACCTACTGTACACAGAGTGGCAGTCCCGCCCTGTCCTCTCTCAATCTTCTCTTTTTTATCCCTTTCTCCCCTCCCTGCTTTCCACAAGCCCTTCTTTTTCTGCTGCCCATGTCTTGTTCCTTCCCTCCCCTTCTTTCCTCTTCCCTTCTCTTCTTCCTTGATTCTCTCCCCTCTTCTCTCTTCCTTCTCTTTTTTCTCTCTTTTTTCGTTCTCTTTTCTCTGCTGCTTGCAGTTCCCTGTCTTCTTTTTTTGGTTGCTTCCCCTCCCTCTCTCTCCCTCTCTCTCTTGCTCTCTCTGTATCTCTCCCCTCTCTTTGTTCCATATTGTGTCCTCACACTAGTAGATGGCACCGCTCGTAGAATAAGAGCAAAAAAACAGCCAATTTCAAACAGTCGATGGCACCGCCCTATCTTTGGACCATACCCCTGTGCGAAGTCACTTTTTGTTCTTGGGGGTCTATACCATGCCTATCGCTCCTGATTTGTTGACTTTTTTTGCGCCGTCTGGTTTGACAATAGTGTAATTAATAAACAATGGGGCCGCCTTTTGGATTCTTCCCGCAAGAAGCCCAACGTATGTGCGCCGTTGTGGTGAAGCTGCAGGAAACATGGATTTTGTAATACATGTGTATTATGGCTGTAAATAGCTGAAAACATCAAGGAAAAAGGTGGAAGGAAAGGTAGGTGCAGGTGGTAACATGTGTTAACATGTGTTTTCCATGTGTGCATTGAACATGTCTTTGTTTCCCACATGTGACATGTGCTCATGAGCCATTCGTGAGTGGAAGCATGTCTGACCTCTCAAAAAACAAACGCCATCTATTATCCCCTGTCCAATGCTTGGTTTCTTGGTAAATTCTCATACCCGTATAGATGGCGCACAAATATGAAACCTACATGTTTCAACGCCAAGCACCTTCGGAATAGAGTAACATATGATAAATGATGATAAATATAGTATCAAATTGCCGATCTATAAGGTGCTTTTAGAACATGTTCTTCCTTCCATTATTCCTTCCTCCTTCGTCTTCTGTCTCTTCCTCTCTGAGCGTTCCGCGTTGCGAGAGCCGCGTGGCCGCTTGCAAGACGTCCGGGGACAAGAGCACTCCGTGATGCGCCTGACGTGGTTCCGACGGTGGTCCCGCTGTGGACGGTGTGAGATGGTTTTTGGGCACCCTCCCGGAGGGTGTGGCCATGCGCCGGGTAAGAAGTGCTTCTTTTTGGGCCACGCACGACACCCCTTAGCCAACGCCGTGCTCGAAAAAGACCCTGAACCCAGACGCCAAAGAAGACCCTCTAAGGAAAGGGGCCGCATCTGGCCCCCCCAAATCCCGGTTTTGAGGGACCAAGGGCTGTTTGGAGAGTCTGGGAACAGACATGAACCGACCCCATCGACGCCGAAAAGAAGGCAGTCATTTGGGTCTCCGGCTTTGAAGCAGCGTGTCAGCCTGTATCAACTGCAACGAAAAAAAGAAAACAAATAACACGCCTTTGGCCCGTGGTGTCCTTTGTTCATCCTTTTTCCAACATCCAACATGCAAATGTTGACATCCAAATACAACCCTACCATGTTGTAGGGGGGCCTCTGGGAAATGTAGCCGCAAAGGGGAAGGGATCCAAATACAACCAAACACGAAAGAGAAGTGCTTTTCCCGGCCCCGCGTGCTCCCCTGCCGGTCGCGCGACCCCCTCCGTCCGACCATGCCGCCGATCGATTCTCCGCCTCGTAGGAGGGTCTCAAGCCCTCGAGGACCTCCAAGGTCTCCGAGACTGATGCTTCCTACGACCGGCCGCGCGGCCGGGCCGCGGACGTTCGCGGGCCGGTCCCCTGCCCGTTTGGGTTTACGGTGTCCCGGTACGGCGGTTGTTTCGGTGTTGAAAAGGAAAACGAGAGGACTGAACTATCCAAGGAGACTGAATATCAGAATGACCACATTGGAGGTGATTATCCATTGAAATGATGAGAGACGATGAACATCAGCTGTTTCTTTTTAAGCAACCGTTCTTTGATGCTTCACACACCCGCTGTCTTGTTCTTCTGCGGGTATTTATACAGTATACTTCCCACAAACATCCACAAGCCGTCCTCACAGTTCACCCTTTGGAAGCGTCGCTCCAGGGCTGCATCTTTCTCGATGTGCTTGGTGTACCTAGATCGATGAGGCCCAGTGGCCTCATCTTTCCCCAGCTGGGCAGATGGGAAGCGCATGGATGACCCAGTCAGTCAACTGACCTCCAAGCGCAACATGAGCTTCTCTGTACGACTGACTTCTCAGAGATGCAAAACTACTTGGTCAAAATGGTCGAAGCATGTATGTGAACACGAGCTTGTATGGAAGTAGCTTCTATAAGAGTCGGACACCAAGTTCGTTCTTATTTCAGGAGCCCCAAGTGCCCATGAAAGAAGCATGTCAACTCCACTGCTTTTGTGATGGGCCAAATGTTGAAATCCACGTCTTTCAGAGGTGAAGGTCTTTCAACTCAGCCTTCTGGACCCCCTTTGTTACGAGTCCCAACTCCCAGAGGTGATGACCCAAAGGCCTCCAGGGAGAACGAGTTGGACTCATTTTTTGAAGATGGACTGCTCAGCTACTGAATGACAATATCAACTGCATCTGGGAAGCCAAGTGAATCGTCCCTCCACAACAAGATTAAGCTTTGAGAAGCTCTCTCTGTCCTACACAGGTTCCAACATGGTGAAGTGTCAAAACGGCTCAGCTGTTTTAAACCTATGCCGTATACCTATAGAGCCTCTATAAGTTCAATGCAATACCTGATCCCATTTTCAATCGGCCAGAGACTGAGTCGGTGCAAATTGCAAATCTAGGTATACCATCCTATATATACGTGTTTATGACTTTAAAATGTAAATACCTTGGAGACTCCCATACCTCTAAAGCCACCATCCTCTACCCTCCCATCCTCCTGCTCACTCGTCCGCAGTGGTCGCGCCAATGACCTCGGTGCGTGCGCCTCTTTTCCACCTGTGGCCCCTCCACACCACCTGTGGACCGTTGATGTGTTGAATCGGTCTTCAACCACCCTTGTGAAGAGGATGGCAATCAGGTTCAGGGGACCTAAGTGACCTACCAGGCACTGTCCATTCGTCCAGGTTCAGGGTCCATGAAAACCCCCGGGGCCGGGACTTCTTCCAAAGCCGCCCGGCTCCGCAAAGGAAGCAAAAAACAGCCCATTCTTTTGGTACGCCCTGCTACTAGCCTGCCCTGGCCCTGTGGAAGAAACTCTTTGAACTGGAAACCATCCACGAACCGGAGCACTTGGATGCACTTCCTTCCACGGACCGAATCCGCACCCGGACCCGCCCTCCGACGGGAGCAAGGGAGCAAAAGGGCCGCGCCTGAAGCTCTCCACGTGCCAAGGAAGGCTTCAGAAGGTTCGCCGCGTCCATGGAGGAGTCGGCACCTGGGAAGATCGGAGCCCGACCAGGTCCAGGGTGAGGAAGAACGTCCCCAGGTGGATCCCAGGCAAACCACGGACTATAAGGAACCAGGGATTCGTTCGGTCTATGGTTTTAGTCGAACTGGAATCACTGGTTACCAGCTATAGTGGAAACGGGATGCCCTGGGGTCTATATATAGTCTATATATATATAGATCTATATAGGTGGTGTAGCTCGAATAGGGCGACCGAACCCCCCCCAAGGGGGCAACGACCGGTCCACCCGAGTGTACCCAGTGGGTCGGGACGTTGAAAAACAAAACCACCTGGACCATCCTGTCGGGGTGTCCTGGCTGGACCACCCTACACTACTTGGGGATCTCCAGATTCGGCGGAGGAGCCAAATGGTCACGGAATCACCGTGTGAACCGTCCAATGAAAATGAAGCAACATGATACGGGATAAACCACAAGTGATTAGTGCCATTCAGCCACCCCAAAACATGAAAAAACTCACAAGGAACATCTCAGCCTTGCGCTGCGAAAGAATGACCAAAAAGGACACCGGGGTCATCTCTCCTGGCGCCTTCGCGACTTCGCGCGTCGCGGCCTGCGGCGCCCGCGCCGATGATCTGGTGAATCCTCAGCAACAGCGACAGACAGAACTCAGTCACCACCCGAAAGAGTCGGTCTGGAACAAGTCCAAGTGGTGGTACTGAACTGGCGAACCGGTGACATGAAATACAGGTCCCCAGTTTTGCATACGGCTGGAGTTTTAAGGGGAATAAGACTCTCCGAAATGTCAACTGTCCGGTTCTGTCCAAAGTCGACATGGCTGAGATTCTGGCTTCTTCGCCCCACCTACTGTTGTCACCGTAAGTGAAGCTCAATCTCAGTTTTAAAACAATATGTAACTTATGTATAGCAATGTTTGTTGGACGGCTTCCAGTCAGGGAATCTATTTCTCTGCTTTTCTCGAAAGCGAGCGCGTGAGCCTCGCGGCCTCGTCGATCCGTCAAATCTCTGAGTCAAGAAGCTCGTCGATGAAGAGACAAATGTCTCTTTCATCACTGGTCACCTCATTGATCACTTTCTTCAAGCCTCAGTGGCCAACAGACTGAGGCTTGATGATCTGCTGAGCTGCAGCTCAGCTCGCTGAGAGGACGAGGTCAGGAGCGGAACGACACTTCCGTGAGTGACGAGGAACGACTGAAACAGGCAGACTTTACCACGTCACCACGCTCTGAAACAGCGCAGGCAATCAGCACAGTTGAAACAGCCTCCCAAGTTGAACACCATCTAAACGAGTAGAGATGTCGTCTAGTCACGTCTAGTCTATATACCACTCTGTATACCACTCTGGTTCACCACCGCTATGTTGCTTCGCCACAGCAAAAGGTTTTCTCAGATGCTCCTGACGGACTTCCTGACGCTTGGAGATGGTGACGGTCCCACAGTTCGGTCCCCCTTGGGCCCCACAGGGATCGATTTCAGCTTCTGGGCGAGCTAACGCATTGATGTGGTGAGCTGCTCGTGAGCTAATCCCTATCTAACATATACATGTCAAAGAACATGAAACAATATAACTAAAATATACAATTAATGTTGTTAATGCAATGTGTGAGTGAGACCAATATGAAGGACCTCAAACAGCTATGAAACCATACATTGAAGTTCATCTAATTATCTTTTACACCCCCCCAAAAAAAAGGATCCCTCGAAAAAGCAAACAGACTATGACAGAATACTTTTTCAATCTCTTTCAGCTATACTCCCTCCACCCAAAACAAAGTTTTCTCCTCTCACAGCCATCCACACCCGAACACATCCCAACACATCCCAGTCAGAACAGACCCAGTCAGCAGTTTGGACCCTCTCACCTCCGTTCCCTCACCCCTCCCGGTCAGGCTCCCACGGTCTTCGAACTCGCCCCGGTACTTGGTGCCAGCCTCAGAGTCGAGTGAGGGGCGGTCCGTCAGGTCAAAAGCAAGTGAATCGTCATCTTACACCCCTAGGGATCCAGTCGTACCTTCTCAGGTACGGTGATTGGAGGCACTGTTATGTAGGTGCCAGGAGGGTCCAGGCGTACCGAACCTGAGAAGGTACGACTGGATCCTTAGGGCACTCCCTGGAAGGACCACATGGTTACGTGGAGAATGGCCTGGCCCCGAGTTCGGACCATGGTAAACAGGTGGTGTCATCCACTTCCACCATGGGGCCGTTCCAGGGAGAGTCATTAAATATGACCTTGGTCCAAAACTGTCTGCAATGTAAACAACTCTCCCCCCAACTGACTATAGTGACGATAGTAGTATCATGTATCCAACAGTCGATTGAAAGGTTACCCTTCCAACAGTCAGAAACTGCCAGACTACCTGCAGGAGAGAAAAAATGATGAAAGAATGTCCAGGACAATCATCATCCAAACCAACTCTGGCAGTGGCTATATTTGCTTGGGGTGAGGGTCCTCTAAGGTCTTGCTCAGTTCGACAAATTTGGAGAGGTCACCCTCGAAGCCAAAAAAAAAAACCAGATACCATTTCACATCCTTTGACCAATCAAAACCTCTCCTACAACTCCCAAAACAAAAAAAGCTGCTTTGCCTTGTGCTTCTCTTGACTTCTCTTTGCTCTGAAAACGACCGCCTCACCCGCCGCCCGACGCCCGCCGCACGGTCACGGTCCGAAACGCGGACCTCTTCTCGGCCCTCCGGCGACCAATTGCCCCAAGTCCAAGGAGTAGAGCTGCTTCCCACGCAAGCGTGAAGGCACCTGCACGTTCGGCCGTCAGGTCTCGAGAATGAGGGATGGAGCAAGGGGACCGGTGACCGAAGAAGAACCACCTCGTCAACACGTTTGGTACGCTGAGCTGAGCTCGCACCATTTGTGGCGCGCGAAGTGTTGACGCGCATGAAAAGAGACTTCCCATGTGGTCCTTGTTGTTGACGGCGAAGCCACCCAAATAATTGCACTTCTATCGCCGTTTGACTGGCTTCGTTTGGATTCCTGCGACTTCGCCGTTTGGCGCAGCCCAGTTCCACGACTAGACACGTCCCGCCTCCCCCTGCGCGATGCGTTGCGCCAAGCCCTCCACCACGGCCGTCTTGCCGACGCCGGGAGGGCCCACGAGGCAGCAGTTGTTCCTGACGTGAGACACGCACGTGAGACGTTGAGCTCTCTCATGCAGGTTGAGTAGAAGGGAGAGAGAACATCGAAATGATTCAACAAGAATTACATGTCGTTTATATATAGGAAGAGGATCCAATATAGATACAATAGAAGATGAAGCAATCCAAAAAGCATGACCAGCCCCCTATTGTTTGGAGTTTCATGGATTTTCCATATTCTATGGACTCTAGGATGACTATACATCCATCCAGAACAGCGAGAGTGAGGCAGGAAACCCTGAAACCACGTTGTATTGTGATAGGTACAGTAGGACCAGCATGGAGAAGCAGTGTTTGCCCATCATTGTCGTTCATCTTTGATCTCAGATGTCCTTCCTTTGTTTTGCTTGTTCCAGTCTACCAGGGCCCAGACTTTCGCTTCCGTAGCAAGATCTGGATGATGCGCTCCATCTCCTCTTGTCGACCTAACAGTGTGAAGAGTGTAGTTCGGGGCTTTCAAGAAGCAAAGAAACGTGCAGCACCAACAGCCCGAGGCAGTATCGGATTCTACCAGAGCCATCAAAACCATGAAGAGAAAACTCTTCACTATAAACACACCAGGCAACATGTGAGGTCTTTGTGAAGGTGAGAACCAAGTGAAAAGCATGGTGTTTGATCGTCACGTGTCGTCTTCACTCCGTCGTTCGCATCCAATGGCCGTTGATTGACTCCAATGGCCGTCCCTTGTGTTACCATGGTTCTTTGGGGGGGTCAAAGTGAACCTGTTCCCCTTGTTTGCGTCCTCCAATCATCCAACATGGGACTCGCGGATGGGGGATCCTGGGGGACTTGGAAAAAGATGAAAAAAAATATTGGACACATTATTATGCCTGGACCTTCAAGGGGTGTCCTGTCTGGAGGTCCCCTGGTAGTGTAGGGGCTTCCAGCCAGGTGACCCCTTTGAAGGTGCTGGTGGTATTATGGAAACATATTCCACTCTTGGTCCAATCATTCGATCGAACTTGGGGGGAGGCATCATGATACATCACAGGACACAGCACCAGCAGGCATGTCGACATACCTGGAGGTTCCTGACGGAAGGTCTGACCGACCTGCAGTTGATCAGGAAGTTTGACCATCTAAGATGGGGTGGTGGGTGGTCCCAAAATAGAGGTCACGACCATGTTCTATACATATATATATATATGTATATATTTGATTATATTTGTAGATCGAATGTGGTCGAATCGGAGAGAACAGTCGTGAGAGGAACAAGTACGTGGAGCAAGGTCCAATTGGGCGTTTTCTAATGACGTCGCAGGACCATTGCCAGTCGCGGATCCCCTGCAGACTGGAGCTGCGTTTCACTGCGTGAAAGAGGACGACACCGAATCCGCAGCGGCCGAATCAGACCGGTGGAAGCGTGGCGGATCATCCCTGTTGTAGCTATATACAAAACCACTGGGACAACGGCAGAGATCATGAGAAGGCGACTTGTTTCTTGATGAAAAGCAAAAACCAAAAAGAAACCATGTTTCGAGTCCAAGGCATTCAGGGGAAAGCGACAGGAGCCAGCTGTGTTGCGGATGGATGGAACGGACCGGCTTCAGGTCCCCGATCTTTCGCCAGTGGCATCGATGTTCGCCCGGCCTACCACTGGATCCAAGAGCCCATCCATGGCCATCTGCCTTGGAATTCAGCGATGAGATGCTATACTAGTAGTTTCTTGCTACTGGTGGCGATGGCCTCCAACCTACGATCCGCGATGGCCTCCACCTAGATACCTAGCTTCTTGCTACTAGTAGGAATGCCCAGATGGCACCTGGATACCTTGCTCTTCCCTACGGAGGAAGACTGGAGGCCACACGGTAGACTGGTCCGCTGGAGCCCCGACCTGGATGACTGTGGGTCGCCATGCCTCACTATTCGAGGATCACATAACTTCATGGATTGAAATGTTTTGGACACGTCCTTGCCAAACCTGTAACAAGCACCCAACCTCAGACAGAAGCTCAAGAAAACCAGACTTACCAAGTAGGGTCACCCAATTTAGAGTCGCTCCCACGTTTCTGGCAGGTCTATTTGGGGTACCGTGACCCACAGCCAAGATATGAAGAATGGGTGTTGGCGCGCCACTCCAAAACTTCACCCACGTTCGTCATGAAAAGGAGACGGGTTTCGTTGGCGGACTGGACCATTAGCACACCTCGTCCGGCCGTTCCACTCCGCGCCACTCTGTGGAACCGCAATCACGGTCGCGAAGCCGTGTTCGTCTCCAAGGCACGTGAGATCGGTGGCCACTTGGTCCAAGGTCAGATCTGAGTCGCCCTTCTCATCGGCCTCGGCGTCGACGCCGGCGTCGGCGTGGGGTGGGGTGTCGGTGGATGAGGCGTTTTGGAGTGCGTGACGAAGGAACACATGCAGGTGACATACTGGGCAAACATCCGAGTTGCCATCAAAACCACAAACACCAACATTGAAACAGATGTATATCATATATGTTGGTAACGAAGCTTCGATCACCGGTCACGAGGTTCTCGAGGTCCTCGTCCACGAAAGTCGGTCAGCGCGGCCACGCGCTATTTTCAGTGAGCCATTGCTCAAGTCGCGCGCGCACCCGCCACTGAGCTTGAGGCGAGCGCGGCGATCACAGTTCAAATGTCTGATCTACCGGGTTGTGCGGCGCACAAACAACATCGGTGAAGATCATTCAGAAAAAGGAAATTCTAAATTCGCGGCCTCTCACTTCTCACCAGTCTTCACTTGAGGTGGCTACTCCGAACAACGTGCCGTGGGTTCCGCCAACCCAATGAACACCCTCGCTCGATGCTGTCGGGGTGCATTTGTCAAAGAACAAATGGGCACATGCCTTGCAAGGCTGTCGTTCGTAGACCAGGTTCGCGGTCCTCTGAGCAACACAAGCCCTCGATGCATGCCAGCAGCCTCCTTGGCTTGCTAGATAGACTGGCTTGAAGGAAGCCTGTTGTCCTGCCACTTTGAACTTGTGGTTGAAATCTGCCTCTTGCATTTCTTTCATCTTGTGGTGCTCTTTTGCCAGCAGTCGTAGTTCTCTTTGTGCGTCCTGTCGTGCCTGTTCCGACACGGCCAACTCTTCTTTCAATCTCTGGTTCTGCTTGGTGATGGTGATGTTCTCCTTGCGCAGCTCTACCAGCCTTTGTTCTTCAAGTCCCGTCTCGGGTTGTCTGAGCCTCGTTCTCTTTGAACTTCTTCTCAAGGATCACAATCTTTGGACCTTGTGTCCACTTCCAGAAGAGCCAGGTGAACATGCCGATGAACATGATCGTCAAGATCAACAAGACATAGTCAATCAAGTCATGTTCCTCCCCCTTATAGTGGCTCATAGTGCCCGTGAAGTTACCATCTCTCTCTTCAAAAGCGTTCACGGTGTCCAGGAAGTAGTTTGAAAACATTGCAAACAATGCTCTCTCTGGTCGTCTGATGGCATACATGTTCTCACCTTTCTTCCTGTTGGTCACATTCTTCCGTTTGGAAGCTTGGAAGGTCTCGTCACTCTTCAGCCTTGTCATGTGAGATCGAAGTCGTTGTCCAAGAAGAGCAGCTGCTGAATCCTTGGTCAGACCATCAGCGTACTGAAGCTCAGAGGATACCCACATGACTTTTCCGTTGCAGCATGATAGCTTGTCTCGACACACAAGAGCCTCAATGGTGGTTCTTTTGTCTGCTCCAGTTGCTGCTTGGATCTCATCTTTTACCAGGACATCATATAAGGCCTTGGCATCCACAATGAGCTTGGGACTGTTCTGCAGATGTCCAGTGCTCACGGAATCCAGGGGCATCAATGCCTTGAAGATGAGGTTCCAGAACAAGGAGGTGTACATGAGACTATCTGCGGCTTCACTTGCTGCCTGGGACTCTGCTGAAAGCGTGCTTCTTGACACACGTGGTAGTTTCCAGCTTCTCCAGTCGATCACATTGTAGTGCCCTTCACACTTGCCATTGGCGACGTCCTTGTGGCACATAGCCAGGAGGTATCCACCTTGGCTGCTCAGATCTGATCTTGTTGCGAAGGAGGCGTCACTGTAGGCGATGAAGGTCATATCTTCTTTGGCTCCGAGACATCTGTACTGGAGTCCTACGTCGGCATACTCCTTGGCATAGCGCAGGTGCTTGTTGCCTTTCTGAAGTGTTGCCACTGTTGCCTTTGAAGTCTCACCAGCCAGCTGGGAAATTCCGACTTGTAGATGTGGTGAGCTCTGGGTGGCAGGCCACTGCAAACCACCTATCAGTCCGCGTAGTAGAGATCGTTCTCGTTCTGTCACGGGAAGGTCAGGACTGTTCACTCGCTCCTTGGCGATGGGTATTGGCTTCACCTTGTGGATATAGGACTCTTGGCTCAAAGCGAGGACATCTTCAGAAAGACTCTTAATTTGGCTCCCGCAATACTCAAGGTTGTTGCCCTCTTGCCACTCACGGAACGTGAAGACATTCTTTAGCTTCTCTTTGACTTCATGGAAGTACGGGTCTTGCAGATCACCGCAACCAACCAAATCATCAACGTGTATGCCAAAGATGCAGGCCAGTTCTCGCTCCACCGTTGGATCTGTCATCTTTTCTGGGTCCAGAGGTCGATAGACCATGAAGAGGCATGGGTCCAGTGGATGTCGCTGGATGTTGCCTTCACCAACTCGAAGGATGCGTTCTGTTGCCTCTTCGTACCATGCACGGGGAGCATCACATAGTCCATACATTGGCTTCACCAATCTCATCAATGTTGGTTCCTCGGGTGACATGCCCAGAAGCTGCTTGGCGTCCCGTGGCAATCGAATCCAGATCACTCGCTTGGATTCCTTGTCAAAATTCTTGCCCTGCAAAAAGGCGGTCGTGATGTCTGAGGTGAACATGTGCCATTTGTAAAGTTGGCAAATGCATAGTACCAGGCCTCTTGCCAGTCTGGTCAAAGTGGGGGCATTGGTGGACAAAGCTCCGGAAAGTGCATCTGGGTCTTTGAATCCTTGTGTGATGAGTCTTGCCTTTGCTCGTGGTGTGCCATCTTCATTCTTCTTCCACGTCAAGATGAAGTGGGCCTTGAGGATTCGCTCAGGGTCTGCATTCTTCTCCTCATCATAGAGCCATACTTCATTCTTAAAGAAGCTCTCCAGCTCTTTGATCTTCGCCTGGATGAAGGCTTGACGGTCGGCCACACTCATGTACCTTTCGAACACCTCGTCCTTGCCCTTCTTCTTCTTGGCAATCTTGTCGGACGGTGTTCTCAGGGTCTTGTACCCGTTACTGGCTTTCTTGTAGTCCTGTTGTGCTTGTTCGCGCCAGTTGGGTTTGATCTTGAACTTGGTTTGTCCTGTCCAGTAGGCCTCCTCAATAAGAGGGTTTCGGCTGTGTCTCTTCCATCTGTCCTTGAAGATGCCGTGGGATGTGCTGGACACTCTTTCCTTGACCAGGTAGTTCAGGTCAATGGGGCATTCTTCATCTGATGGACGGTAGGCCTCTTTTCTTGGGATGTAGTGATTTCTAATGAGCCAGTTTCCTTCCATGACCCAGTCGTCTTCGGGGCTGTCTAGGCAGAGCCATCCATTTTCAAGGTGCCACCCTGGTGGTAGATCATCAATCTTCTGGACATCCACATCAATCTGCATGTTCATGTCCTCTGTGGCCACCTGATCATATGGCGTTGACCGGGCAGTCTCTGACTTCATGGGTCCATACACCATTGGCTTCTTCAAGAAAGACAAGGTCTCCTGTTCGTCAACTCGGCTTCTCTGGTTTCTGAAGCTCTCATTGGCGGTCGGTTCATAGAGCCTCTTCTGATGTTCCGGGACTGGTGCTGGAGGCATCTCCTGTGGTGATGCTTCATTGCTTGGTGCTGCTGGTTCCTCCAGAGGTACTTCATCTGCTTCATTGTTGTTCTGTGGTTCTTGAAGTGCAGCATCTGCTGGGGCGTTAGCTGCTGGGTTTGCCGGTGGTGGCATTGCTGATGCTGACGTTCTTGGTTGATCGTCCTCTGGTGGTCCCTCCTCTGGTTCGGGAGGTTCTTCCGGTTCATCTCGCACCAATTGTTCGAAGGTGTCATCTGAAGCCGTCTCTATGTCATCATCTATCTGGAAGGTTGTTGTGCCTGTCCACCGATAGTGAAGGTTCCTTCCAGCATCGATTGTTCTCCAATCGTCTCGTAGTCGAAGATGTTCCGGATGAGGTGGGTTCCGTCTGATGACAGTGAGACGTTGGTTCCGGAAACGGTCTACTGGGACATCATCAGTGCTGACTGGCACAAAGAGTTCTTTGCGCTCAACATTGTGTACACGGGTCCAGGTCTTCTGATCATCACTGACCTGCCAATAGTCAGCCAATCCTGGATTCCCCTCCCCTTCTTCTCCTTCTGCCATGTGGTCATCATCGAACTCTTCATCTTCCTCATCACTGGAGACTTCATGCCTTTGTCTCTTGTTCGTCTTGGTGAGGTCGGTGTAGAGTGTCGTGCCCCTGCTCCGAATGTTCTGCAGGGCTTGCTGGGCCTTGAAGAAGGGATCATCATCAGCTGCCTTTCCAGAATCCTCCACAGGTGCAGGTCGAAGATGTTCTGGTGCTGTTCTCAAGAGATTCGTGCCATGCACGATCCAGTAGATGTTGGAATGAGGTCCGCCATCAAGCTGCTCAACCATCACGATGCGGGCAGGTCCACGCCATCGTAGTTTGGGTCCTATGCCACCTGGTCCATCTCGGTAGTAGTAGCACATGTCCCCCCAAATGAAACACGGTCAGCTGGCCAGCGAACTTCCGGTTCATTGCCCGTCGCAGTCTGGTGTCAACATCTGCTGAGAAGACGGCATTGGCTGCTGCTTTCTGCCTCTGTAGCTTCTGCAGGAACTCGTCCGAAGGATCAAGTGATGGTGGTGGCAGAGGTTCTTCTGTCAGCAACCCAGGAATGTGTGGCGTGTAGCCCAAGACCCACTGTACTGGACTGTATCCTCGGACATTGGTGCTTCTGTTGATCTGAGGAATGACATAGCACAAGGCCTGTATCAGCTTCTCACGAGGTTCTGCTGGCTGCAATATGTTGCCTTGCTCTTGATCAGCCAGAAATAGTTCCAACGCTCGCCTGGTCACCTGATGTCGTCGTTCCAGGATAGCAAGTCGTGTGTGACTCTGTCCAGGTGAGATCCTCAGCTCAACCCCTTGTTCCGAGCACCAGGACTTGACATAGTCTGAGGCCCAGCTCCTGTGGTCATCAACCTGTAGGGTCTGCATTGGTCCAAAAACACGCACCCAGGCTCTTTCCACAGCTAGGATGAACTCCTCTGGTGATTCCTTCCAGATCACTCGTCCAGCCAGAAAGCGCGTTGCTG